TTCCCCCCCCCCCCCCCCCCCCCCCCCCCCCCCCCCCCATAGAAAATATTATTGACAACAATTTATTTAAATCTGACACTTCCAGTTTTAGAATAGAAAACACTATAAGATCTTTTAGGCGTGAATTGAGTTTATTATGCGGAATTTTAGTGTAAAAGGTTGGAAAATCAAATATACTTATTGATATATTCTGTAAGATCCACATTTGATTGATTCCATTGTGGGAGTAAACAGTATTGTGGTATTTTTAAGTTCTGTACTTATTCAAGTATGAACTTATTCCAGGAACAGAGCAGGAAAACGACAGGTTTCGTTTCCGGTCGGTTCATGTTTTGGTAAGTACGCTAGAGTTCATATTGAAGTAAGTGATACGGAATTTTGTGTTGTTTGGGTATCCAATAAAGTAAAGGGAGATCTGCAGTAACATCCCCACAAATAGTTCTCTATGTTGCAAGTACAGACTTGAAATTGGATAATATTTCATCCTTAGTGCGTTTATATGTAGGATTTTCTGTTGATTTTCCACAGCAAAGTTCGTTGATCAGAGTGTAAAATGTGTTTTGTATGTAAGTCATTTAGTTTTTCAACCATGTTGACAACATTGAAAATCGACTTTGGACTTTAATTGTTGACCGGATTGCATAAATTTTGCGTTTTATGAAACCTCTGATACATTTAATCCATTCAGAGAGGGTGTCAGCAGTTACGTCTTTCTTCAACAACCAAAATCTATGTTGTTAGACGCTGCAAAATGTATTTTGTATGTTAGGCATTCAGTTAATCAATTATGTTGACTTAGGACATTATCTATTGCAATTTTGAGGAGGCAATAAATATTGATCAGGGGTGCATGTGACATATTGGAAAGTTTTCAAAGAGATATCTGGAAAAAGTTTAAGAAGGTTGAATTTCGTGCTTTAACATGGAAGCAGATAGCAAATGAATTACTGGAGCGTGTTTATTCTCAAGGGAAATAACTCATAATTAAAATTGAGAAGAATCAGAGCTCTAATCATACTGTCTGTGTCTTTTGTATATCGAACACACTTTATAAAATGAATTCAACTAAAAGGGAAGGTTTTCGGCTGTAAAATTAGAATAACTTATGTCATGTATGACGCAGTGGGGGAATACCCTGAAAATAGTCGTGATCGGTTGATTGTTGCGTTCTGCAAAAAGCCAGTTCGGAGTTTTGCATTGCGCAAGCGCGTAAATTTTCAAGAGTGGTTACGGAACTCCCAACTTGCTTATTATTGACGTTTCTGTTTGCAAGTTCCTAAGTGACTCAAAAAGAAAATTAATAACTACTTCACAATTATGTCTCTGGACACCTCCGGCGCGAATTTCGATGCCAAGGTCGAGGTCACCAGTAAGCTTATTCATCAACTTTCCGAAAACTAACTCGCAAGTAATGTTAAAGCCGAATTGAAACAAAATCGCCGTGGAAAACGAGCTTTTACATGTTTTGCCAGAAATATGTTTTCACCACTAAAAAACACTTTCGAGCACAAAGATTCTGTTAGATTTTAAATGGTCTCTAGTCAGTCTCAAAGTATAGCTGTACAATTAACAAAGCCTATTGATATCTCTGAAGTTAGTATGGCTCAGGCATTTAAATGCCTATATTTTCTTACAAAGAACAATTTTGCACATACCACAAACTTCCCAAAGTTGTTGAATCTAGAGAAGCATCTGAGAGTTGATATCACATCTAAGATAAACGCAGGAGAAATGATGATGTCAGTACAGGTGACACAATACATAGAGGACAATAATTTGCCTTATTCTACGCTTCGTGGAATTGGCACTGACGGAGCTGCTGTGATGACAGGGAAGCGAAATGGAGCAGTAAAACAGATAATAGAGAGACAAAAAGACAAGTGGACATAATTGATCCTAATAAACCCGTAAACGAAGCAGTTGAGCACACTGTGCTGCGCATAAACAAAGCTTGGAAGCCAAGCAAGTTGGAAATTAATTTCCTGTCATCCCTTCATACTTTTTATTAGAGAAGTGCAGTATGTGAAAAAGAGGTCAGCTATTCGAGATTTACTTTTCAAAAGAAAGGAGGAAGAGGAAAGTGGCAATCTCAACAAGATGACCATGTCTCGGAGAATGTGCAGTCAAACTAAAGAACACCAGCATTATAGTATGTTTGGAACGTGAAGCAGGAGAACGTGCTGACCAGCTGGACTGGTCAAGTTTATGACGAAAATAATTTTTTGCCATTCTTTTTCTTCTTTGTGAAGTAATACCCAGTGTAAACCGGCGAAGTCTGGCTTTCCAGGAATCAAACTTTGATTTCAAAGCAGTGAATGCTGCGTTGACTGCTACCAGCACAATCAACACGCCTTTATAGAAAACCATTGAATCAAGATTTAATGACGCAGATGTCATGGCAGCCTTCTCATACATTTTCGACAATGGCAGCTGTTTAGTCAAATTCAGTACCCCCTGACAAAACTGTTAGTGAAGTGAAAGATGTAATTTGTTATATGCAGTCAGACAGAGACTTTCTTGCAAAATTTCCCCCACTAGAGGAACTGTCATTTGAAAAGGCAGTGAGGATTTGGACTAACAATAATGAAAGGAGGTACAAAGTACGCCTTTCTTAAAGTTTGCTAAGTCGGTTGATTGAAATATTTAATTGCCTTATAATTATGTATTGTATTTTGAATTCCATGTTAAAATAAATATTTAAGACAAGACATTTTCACTTGTTTATTGACATGTGGAATTTCATACAATATTAGTGTATGTTTTTATCTGATGTGATATATCCCACAAAAAGTCTCCATAAGGGCGTTGCCCCATGACCCAACCAAAGACCCTCGGATCCCCGCCGGGAAGTGCGAGTCTACAGTTGCTATGCGACCTCCCATCGCCAAATTTAAAATGACCGGCATGACTCAGAATGGGCTGGTGACAACTCTGATTGGTGAGTATCAGTTTCCTTAAAATATACCTCACTATCAAATTTAATCGTTTTTGCTATGGAATCTATAGACAATGGTATCTAGAAAATCTATGCTCTTGTGACTAACGTAAATCCAGACCGTATACTACAATTACTTATTGAAGTATATTTTCCACCATAGGCCTGTACATTTGAGTGAATGACTCATTTGCTGATGCTATTTGTATCATTAGAGGAATATCAACAACATTATTTTTTATCTGTTTATTTCAATCAATTTCAATAGTATTTAATTCTTTTCTATTTCATCTGACATCCGGGGCTTCATCACCTCTAAAAAATAAAAGATAGCTTGCCAGGCAAAGTAACATACGCCCACTGGCAACTATCAGCAATGATACCATTCTCTAGTTACTAAAACAAATTTTCTCTTATAAAAGATCTTCAAAAATTAATTTTTTGATTCAAAGACTTTGAATTCATTAATGTTTCATCAATTTATTGTCAGTTATTCATCTGATTTTTTCCACAAAATCTTTTCAAATCAATAGCAATAACCCAAAACATTGAACCACACTCCTTACACACTTCAAAAATTTATAATATAGACATAGACAAATTAGAACTTGACTGAGATATTATCTATTTATACATCCATGTCAAGTTTCATCATGATCGGATAAAAACTGTTAACAAGCCAAATTTGTCGCGTTTTTATTAAGTCAAATTAGAACTTAACCAAGATCTCATCAATATACAAAGTTTCATGCTTAAGATCGGATAAAAACTGTAGCCCCTATTATGTAAATATATAGATATACATAACAAACTTTAGAAATATTTTAAGAAACATTATACGACATTTTTGATAATAAAAAATTTACATACTGCCCCTTAAGCTTCTTATAATCTGCTCTAAATAATTTATGAATAATATTTGACATATTTATTTAAACTGTGAATTCGAACATTATAACTCTGTTCGATTTTTTTTTTAATTTTTTAAAACTGAAACAAGAGTAACGTCAATATTAAAACCATCTTTCCAATATGCATCATTCGGGGAGTTTAAGGCCGAGATCTAAACTTAAGACATAGTAAGAAAGCTTATGACGAGCACAAGGTCAAGGTCAACAATTTAAAAATAATATCAAACATGTTGAAAATGCCCAAGTTCATGATATACTCCTCTGAAGTTCGAAAAATATGCAAATTAATCATTTTTAGGGTCGTCTAAACTAAAAGACTCGAGGTCTCACATAACAATCTAGTTACAGGAGATGCTCAAGTAGAAAGGTCAAGGTCAACAATTTAAAAATGACCTATCTGAAAAAAACCTTGACGGGTAATTATGCAAAGTAAAAGTCGAAATTTTAAAAAAAGGGTGTTTAGAGAACCTAGGAATTATTCAACTTTTTAAAACAAATTCGATTAGAAATGTCGTCTGCAATAATTTTTTACGATTTTCTGAATTTTTCAAGATGCCGGGTAAACGGTAAGGAATTCGCATACACAGCAAAGGTTCAGAATGAAGACATTGATGGTAGAAATTTTGTGAAATTACAAATTTGCACGTTTTAAGAGAAATAGTCTGAAAACTATGATTTTTGTGATTTTCGGGAGTTTTTTTATTATCAAATCTCAATTGATAATTTGGTCTTCGTGCAAATCGAATTAAAATTAAAGAAGTTAAAATTTTGATCAAACTCAGTACAAAATGTTATTGACAAAATTTTTGAATTTCGAATTTCTGTTTGCAAGATCTTTCAAGATAATACAAAATTGTATTAACAAATAAAAAAGCGTTTAATGGGTGATTTTCGAATGGGTTATTTTAAACAGTAAATATTTGGTTATTCCACCCTGACCTTCTTAACTCTTTATATCTTGTCAAACAAAAGTGATAAATATTTTAACATCACCTCGTGGAAATGGAATAAACTTTAAATAAGTTTTAACTAAGATTTAGTACAAAAATTTTCGAATTTCTGAAACTGCAGTCCTTTCGAAATTCTTTCAACAATACACACATCGTCTTAAAATTCAAATTCCTACTTACAAAAATTTAAATCTCACAACAGAGATCATTTCCTTCACAAAATAGATCGATTTCTCTTTCACTTACAGAACAATGCGATTTGCATATTCTTTCACCAAATAATTGACAGCGACGAACTGAAATATAGAGAATTATATGGGGATATTTCAGACCTGGACCAAGGTATAGCCTACTCATTTTTATTTCCAATAGTCGCCATAATCATGGTATAAGCGTAAGTAAGTAAGCGTCAGATACCGTACGTGTGTGACCAATAATCACTGTTGCAGCATTTTTGGGGGTTGATTTTAGTGTTGAATATGTTAATAGTCTTCAGAAGTACAAGAAATCTACCAAGATGGATAATTCCTTTAAAAATACTACAAACTAAGAATTTTTCTCACCATTTATATATATGTATTTTCTATATATCACAGAGTATCTTAATATGACGAGTCGTCATTTAAACATTCAATTGCGGATAATTCAAGACACATATGGATTTGAAGGCTCAAATTTGGACGGTGATCTGTGAACAAAATTACTGATTGACTTAGCTTTATTTTTAATTTCGCCCACTTGAACGTTCGTCAAATTACCCTTTTGATCTAACTCGATGGCGTCTGCTTTAACCAATCAAATTTCTGTCCTCTCCATCGCTGGCATTTTGTGACGCGGTATTTATCAAAATGTCAAAAGGTTAATTTGACGAACGTTTAAGAGGGTTGTCGCTAGACCTTAACTGAAATGGCTATATTAAAGGGAAAAGTACGCCATTTGTCGAGCTTTTGGATGAATCAATTAAAAAATAATTCTCCCTCTGGACTCAATATTCAGCTTGATTCCCAAATAATACCATTTGTTTCCAAATTTAATATTATTTCTTGCCAAGCTTCCCGTATAATTAAACGACTCTACTCAGAGTTACAGAATAAGCTAACAATTGTCTTTTACAAAACAATATGCAGTAGCCTACGCCAAAAATATAAACCATTGATAATGAATAATTTGAAACTGTTCTTATTAATTGTCTCCCTTTTATTTCATTTTATCCAGAAACACGCTTTTCTTGTTATATAACAAGATATATATAAAACACTTTGATAGTTGATAAAACATTTCTGATCTTTATCTTTATAATAAAAGCAGTAAGAAGACACCTTTTAAGAGTGACTAAAGTTTTTTAAATTCTACGAACTTTCATCGTCGTCGAGACGACTTCATCAGGTGACATGTTTGAATTAACCATGGTTCAAATACTGTAAGTCACTCTTAAAAGATGTCTTCTTACTACTTTTATTATACAACAACATAGAGTGATACGGCATTACTTTCGGTGCTATCTTTATACTTTATAGTGATATGTTTGGATAGATATAAGAAGAATATACATACTGGAATCATTTATTTTTTTAGGTCTACCTTTTAAAATTACTTTTTATAACTTATTTTACACCACAATAGTTGTAAACAAAACTTTAACCCTGTGCCAGTGCTTCTAATTGAAAAGTAACTTGTTACTTTCAATCACCCTAATCCTTAGTCTCAGAAACGGAAATAAGCTAATCAGTAATAGTGTTCATAGCTCACCTTCGCAATTTGAGCCTTTAAATCCATGTGTATCCAGAATTATCCGCGTGTGAAAGTTAAATAGAGGACTAATCTTTTCTTGAGACTACTCCACATATAGAAAAAACATATATAGAAAAGCGTTTTCTTCGCGTTTGCCAACGACCAAGTAGCCGTAAGTTAGCTGAGGGTCAGCCAGTTCCATCCTAGGCCTGTATATTTGGGAGAATCAGACCCTCCCTATCCCGAAACCCAATTTGACAACCCTCGGAAGTTTCAGTAAAAGTACAGTACACAAAAATTGTCTCGGTGACGGTTAGGTTGATGTTCAGGGATGTATTTTTTTGTAAGCTGTTAAGCTATAACAATTGATTTGTTCTGTTTGAATAAAATGAATGAATCGAATGTATTTACGTATTTCCGCTCGAGAAAAATATCTGGAAATTAATTAAACGAATAATGTAACTATGACGGAAATGATGCCACCATTGGATTGGAAATCGTAGTACACTGTATAAATACAGAGGCTTTATTCTCGAAAACTTAAACTAGGTCGATAATAGTGTTCAAGTCAATTAGTTGGTCAGTCACTAAAGTTCAGGCAGATTTCTGTATTTCTTATAATCTGCATTTGATTGTAGTTCGTCCTTCAAGTTTCGTCCTACTTAGTTTAGTTTCCAATGTATAATTCGGAAATTTGACATATATTTTATTGTATTGAACTGTGTTTGTGAACATTTTGTTAACTAAATATTTTACCGGTACGACTGGTCTTAGCTTTAACTATGCTGATGAGTCGATGATGTGTTTGTTAGTCACTTGGTCTATGACGACCCCTACACATACATCACCTCACAAAACTCTGAAAATGTTAGTTGTTATTCCAGAAGACAGAATAATTTATCAACTGTACTAACCTTCACAAGTAGGACCAGTAAAGCTCTGTGTACAATTACATGATCCATCAGACAGTAGTGTTCCATTATTTTGACAAGGATTCACTCTTTCTAAAACAACAAGGTTGAAACTTTTATTGAAGATAATGTAATTATGATATGTGTTTAAAACAAACTTATCTCAGATCCAGGACTCCCAGTCTCAATCCAACCACATCAGAGTGTTTCAAGCATAGATTTGAACAATTCGAGAACGATATTGTTACCATACATTACCTCACAAATTATTGAAAATTTTAGTTGCTATTCCAGACGATAGAATAATTTATCAACTGTACTAACCTTCACAAGTAGGACCAGTAAAATTCTGTGTACAAAAACATCTTCCAGCAATTAATTCGAATCCACCATTTTTACAAGGATTCACTCTTTCTAAAACAACAAGATTGGAGTTTTTATTGAAGATAATGTAATTGTGATATGTGTTTAAAACAAGCTTGTCTCAGATCCAGGACTCCCTGACTCAATCCAACCAAATCAGAGTGTTTCAAGCATAGATTTGAACAATTCGAGAATGATATTGCTCTGCCCCCATTTGGCTCCGCCACTGTTGACATTTTGCATATTGGTGAATTAAGTTAGGATTCTATTTTTTGCTACGGATGCCTTTGTATTATCATATTTATGGGTTCTGTCTTACGATTGTTATTTTTATATTTTGTAGCAAAACCATTCGACTTAAATTCAAGTTAGAACATTCAACTTGAAAATATTCAAGTTGGAACATTCTACTAAGTAGTTTGTATTTAGTCATTGAATGTGTTTTCCTTAGGGAACTGTTATTATGTGAATACTTGCTGATTACGTATATGACATGGATCATGGTGATATGGTTACTGAAACTTCCTGATCTGATGGAGTGGCCCATTCGTTAATACGTCAATAATCTTTGAATGACCCTTTGAAGGTACTGGTTTCGTAATTACGCCTATACTTTCTGAATGACCCTTTGTAGGTACTGGTTTCGTTATTTCGCCTATACTTTCTGAATGACCCTTTGAATGTACTGGTTTCGTTATTGCGCCTATAGTTTCTGAATGACCCTTTGGAGGTACTGGTTTCGTTATTGCGCCTATACTTTCTGAATGACCCTTTGGAGGTACTGGTTTCGTTATTGCGCATATGCTTTCTGAATGACCCTTTTGAAGGTACTGGTTTCGTTATTGCGCCTATACTTTCTGAATGACCCTTTGGAGGTACTGGTTTCGTTATTGCGCCTATACTTTCTGAATGACCCTTTGGAGATACTGGTTTTGTTATTGCGCCTATACTTTCTGAATGACCCTTTGGAAGTACTGGTTTTGTTATTGCGCCTATACTTTCTGAATGACCCTTTGGAGGTACTGGTTTTTGCGCCTATACTTTCTGAATGACCCTTTGGAGATACCGGTTTCGTTATTGCGCCTATACTTTCTGAATGACCCTTTGGAGGTACTGGTTTCGTTATTTGGCCTATACTTTTGGAACGACCCTTTAGAGGTAATTTGGCGTCGATATTTTCAAAGTTAGCTTTATCGATTTGTGTTTAGCAACAACACATAATAGGCCTACATTAGTACAGATATGTTTATGGACAACATATATTGCAGAGATATGTATTGAGACATATATTTTATTGTATTGAACTGTGTTTGTGAACATTTTGTTAACTAAATATTTTACCGATACGACTGGTCTTAGCTTTAACTATGCTGATGAATCGATGATGTGTTTGTGAGTCACTTGGTCAATGACGACCCCAACACATACATCACCTCACAAAACTTTAAAACTTTTAGTTGTTATTCCAGACGATAGAATAATTTATCAACTGTACTAACCTTCACAAGTAGGACCAGTAAAATTCTGTGTACAAATACATGTTCCATCAGACTGTTCTGTTCCACCATTTTTACAAGGATTCACTTTTTCTAAAACAACAAGGTTGAAGTTTTTATTGAAGATAATGTAATTATGATATGTGTTTAAAACAAGCTTGTCTCAGATTCAGGACTCCCAGTCTTAATCCAACCAAATCAGAGTGTTTCAAGCATAGATTTGAACAATTCGAGAATGATATTGTTACCATACATTACCTCACAAAATATTGAAAATTTTAGTTTTTATTCCAGACGATAGAATAATTTATCAACTGTTCTAACCTTCACAAGTAGGACCAGTAAAATTCTGTGAACAAAAACATTTTCCACTAGACAATTGGACTCCACCATTTTTACAAGGATTCACTCTTTCTAAAACAACAAGGTTGAAGTTTTTATTGAAGACACTGTAATTGTAATAATGTGTTTAAAACAAGCTTGTCTCAGATCTGGAGCTCCTAGCCTCAATCCAAACAAATCAGAGTGTTTCAAGCATAGCTTTGAACAATTCGAATATGAAATTGTTACTTGAGAAAATAGAATAATCTATCATCTGTACTAACCTTTACAAGTAGGACCAGTAAAATCAGCTGTACAAATACATCCAACATTAGGCAGATCGATTCCACCATTTTTACAAGGATTCACTTTTTCTAAAACAATAACGTTGAAGTCTTTATTTGAAGAAACGGTAATTGTGGTACGTGTTGTCTCAGATCAAGAGCTCCCAGCCCCAATCCAACCAAATCAGAGTGTTTCAAGTATAGATTTGAACAATTCGATAATGACAATATTAACACTATATTTTACATCACAAAATAGGGGACATTTTCGGTTTTTATTCGAGAATATATAATAGAATTTTAAACTAAACTGACTGTAATAGTCTGTAAACTTCCTATTAGGAGGTATGAACTATCGGAGTCAAAACCATAGATGTATATAATAATTATTTTACTGTTTTTTTTTTTTTTTTGGTGGGAAACAACTTCGGTTGGTATGAAGAATACAAAGGGAAACAACTCTAAACAATGTACATTGACTTACTACAACATCTCCCCTCTAAAGTTAAAAGGCCATAAATCACAAATAATATTAACTATACTGCTACAACTCAAAATTTAAAGAACACGATTTGAGTTTGCTTTAATTCCTGAGCATGATAAATGAATACACAGAAAGAATTTGAAACTTGTGAAAACTACTTCAACTTAAACACATACAATGAATAATTTTTAAAGTCGACAAAACACAATTATGTCGGACACATGTCAGTCATTTTCAATCAGTCTCTTAATCACTCTGCCGGATCAGGTTGTTGTGATATCAAAGTTGTTAGCTTGCTGTTGCAACGAAGGTGTAGGAGGTGTGTCGGCGGATCACTGATAGTCTGATTAGGTAGTATCAGATCTCTGCGGTTTCTTCTGATGGTTCTTCTGTCTGTTTTCACCAAGTATGAACGTGGTGCTACTCAGTTGATTACCTCTACCTTGGTTTTCCAATTATTCATTTCAGCTTTGAATAAACATACTGATGAATGCGTTCTACTCTAAAACATATCCCAAGAGCCCCCTTCTCATTTGAGCATATCGAGTCTCTGCCGATGTCATAGCTCGGGATCCATATATGCTGCTGGACACCAAGTGTCATCGTGCTGCTGGAGTAGGAATGCACCCAGACCACTTTGTGATGCGTCTGTAGAAACCTTGATTGGATTGGAGTCCTAGAATCTGAAAACTGGTTGTCGAGATATCATGGTTCGGAGTTCATTCCACGCCTTGTCTTGAGGTTGAGACCATGACCATTGAACTTTTTTTTCCAATAACTGGCTCAGTGGAGATTATGTCGTAGATAGATCTTGGATATATCTTCCAAGGTAAGTTCACCATGCTCATGAACTGCTTAACCTCTCTCTTTTCAGTAGACTTCTTCAGAATCATGATAGCTTTAAACATCAGTTGTAATATGATCACCAAGGAAAGTTAGCTTTGATACTCCGATTTCACACTTGTCCCTATTCAATTTCAGCCCATTTCTACACTTCTCAAAAACCATTCCCAGTCGCTGATCATGTTGTGACTTGTAATTACCCTATATGATCATGTCATCCATGCTTGTGTCAGTCTCTTGTATGTGTTCAAAGAACTGGTGGATGGTCCGATGGTATACTTCTGGTGCACTATCGATATCTTCCATTTTCTAGCCCCGGCAAAGTGTGACATTACCTCCTCTTAGGTAGGAAGTTGGTAGTGTTCTCGCTGAATCGCCGTGTTTAGGTTTCTCGTGTCCGAGCAAATTCTGAGCTTACCCTGTTTTTTGTGCACGATTACCATCGAACTGATCCATTCAGTGGGGTGGTCACCTCCGTGATGAAACAAAGAGATTTCATCCTGTCGAGCTCTTCTTTCATGTAGTGCCAAGGGAAGTTTTCAACATGCTTCAATAACTGGTTTGACTTTGTTGTCAACTGTAATGCTATGTTCACCTGGTAGACAGCTTAGTCCGATTAACACGTCTACATATTCTGAGAGAACTGTATGAGAGTTCACTGCCCTGATCTATGTTGATCTTGTAGACACGGCGTATAAGATGTATCCTTCACAGTCTTTGACTCCCAGTATCGATCTGTGGTTGTCTGGTGTAACTACGAATAATGTCGTGTATGACTTGTCCTTGTACGTCCTTTACAGGTACATGGGTTCTGCCATATGATTTTAGGCTCACCTTTAAAGGTTCAAGTGGTGGCTGATACTGCAGTTTACTCTACAGTGAATATCTGCATCGCCGTCTAACTTTAGAGGTGCTTGTGTTCCATTTTTGACAAGATTTGTAGAATCTTGGTCTGAGTGGTCCAAGGGACACAACTCTATATAGAAGGTTAAGAAGGTTAAGGACTGATAGAAATGTCAAGACTATACGACCGCACGATTTACATGATGTCTATTCTATACTACAATAAACTGTTGTCTTTCTTATCACTTCATCTCTGGTGTTAAACCCTGAGAACCTACGACACAACATATAGCGACGAGAACACAGAGAAAGAATAAAAAGAGAAAAATAATGGTATTTCACTGGAATTTAGATGAACAGAAAATCGAATATTGAATATATTGATAGTGAAAGTGGTGCTGATAAAAAACATTCTTTTGATATCAGAGCCTAAAGAATTTAATGTTAATTCTACAGATAAATTCTTTGAATGGCATTAAATTTTAACAGGTAAGAGGTACATAATTCTTAAAATAACATACAGGCTGATTAAGTAAAATAATTGAAATAAAGTAAATGAATTAAAAAAGATTAATTGAAGATTAAATAAACAACTATTGCTAGTATTGGAGTCTTTTAATAGAATAAACCATTTATCTCTTGTGTGTTCTTAATAATAAGCATTAATGTATATATAGTTTGCCCATCACTTCTTCTCATTATGTGTCTGAGGACGACGGGGGAAACACGTCGAAACGTTGCATAAAACTTTAACCGGTGATTGTTGTTCCATAAAGCTGTGTCTATATAAAATTCTACAGATGTTTACCAAGAATTCACAATATGGATGGAATCATTGGAATATATAAGAAGGACGATGCAGTAAGAAGAGCTATATTTCTTCATAGTTTAGGACAGGCTTGTCAAAGAAGTTTTTCAACATTGACTCGTCCAAAGCAAACTTATCAAGAAGTAATAGAAATTCTCACAGATCATTTTAAACCTGCTTGTAATGCTGTAGCAGAAAGTAAACTTTAGAAGAAGAGTTCAACAACCACATGAAACTATTGATGAATACCTGATAGATCTTAGAGAATTAGTAAAAACCTGTGAATTTGGTCCTTTAGAGGAAAAAATGATTAGAGATCAGATAGTTGAAAAGTGTCATTCCAATACACTTCGAGAAAAACTATTACAGCAAGAGAAATTAACTCTGATGAAAACTTTGTCTATTGCTAGAACATTAGAAAGAGCCAAAACTCAAACACGGTCGATGGCTGGATCTGAAAATGGTGCAACAAATTATATTAGAAATAGACCTATAATGGAGAATAGAAACAGAAATCCTATAGAAGGCTCAAGAGAAAGAAAGAATAGAATATTTGATAAAAATAGAGTCAAATCACGAGACAGAAATAAAAAGAAAAAGAGGAGAAATCAGACAAGAAATCATGTTACAGGTGTGGATGTACTGATCATTTTGCAGATTCTTTTGGTGCAAAGACTTTCAAATGATTGTGTATACTACATTAATTCTGACATGAAAACGGAAATGGTTGTGAATAGGGGAGAAATGAGAACCGAAGTTGATACAGGAGTTCAACAAAACATAATTAGTTCAAGAACTTACCATAAACATTTTAGAAATATAGAATTGAAAGAATTAAGAAACAAGTTCTAACATGCCTATGGTCAGAAAGAGCCGTTAAATTAATTTTCAAGCTGAAATAAGATGGAAGAATAACTTTGTTACAGGGAAGATATTTGTTATAAAAGGAGAAGCTGAATCATTATTAAGTTGCAGGCATTTTTGATCAGATGTAGGGCATTTTTCTCTTTTATAATTATGTGCATCATTACCACATCTACCAGGCTATTCAGTTTTCTTAAAGTTCTGTTCTGATTTGTGGTTTGGCTTAGATTTGACATAATGAACTGATTCTTCTTTTCTTAGTTCTTAGATTGTACACTTGCCATTTCTGCTGCTCGAATTGAATCAATAGCTTTTGTCAGTGTTAATTTATCATCTTTTACATACAATTCTGTCTCGAATTAAACTAGATTTTGAAATAAAGAATACAATTACAGGGAAACAACTCTAAACAATGTACATTATTAATTAATTAATTACTACACTGACCTTCACAAGTAGTACCAGTAAATTGAACTGTACAAACACATGTTCCATCAGACTGTTCTGTTCCACCATTTTTACAAGGATTCGCTTAAAATAAAACAAGAGACATATTACAACTAAAAGCATACATCATACATATACTGGACTGTGGACAATCAATTTAATTAAAATTAGATTTGAATTTCGTATCTATTTTTTAGTTGCTGATATTTCTACTCCACATAGTAATCTATATCGCTCTATATTGATGTATTGAGCACTATTTTAACAGTGAAAATATTTTATTATTGTACTTTATAATCTAAATAGTTTTATACATCTATTGTGATACAGATACCGTCTGGACACATCTATTGAGATAGAGATACATACCTTCTAGACATTATACATCTATTGAGATAGAGATACATACCTTCTAGACATTATACATTTATTGAAATAGAGATACACACCTTCTAAACATTATATATCTATTGAAATAGAGATACATACCTTCTAAACATTATACATCTATTGAGATAGAGATACATACCTTCTAAAAAAATATGAGAGAGATACATACCTTTTGGACATAATGTTTTTTCTAAATCACTCAGACATTGTGAAAGTGGGGGTTTATAAACGTATCTTGATCGAATGAAGCTGTATCGGCGTTGAAATATTAAACTGCTGGAACTTTTGAGCATAGCGATCAACGCAAACATCGACACATAAACTTTGAAAGAACCCATTTTGATAGATTTTCAACTGAACTGACACAAGATTGTCATGTAACAGTATTTATAGTTATTTAGAGCTGCACCTGCATAACAGGTATTAAAATTATTCCTTCCCAATTTAACATTAAATTTTAGATCATAAATTTTAACTGAAAAGAGAATATACGTTTTTGCGGTGAAAATAAATTGTATTTTTATTCACTTGCCCACTCAGTATGCAGGAAGTTTCAGTTACGATCATTCTGACTTATAAACGGGCAAAGTCAAAATACTCCCAAAAGAAGCGCAAAATCCGATACAAAGTCTCAAATTTGGATTTCGTTTACAATAAGAAGCACAAATAAAAGAATTTGCTCAGACAACGCAAGTGTTTCGGTTAGATGTGGTCAGTGCACCAATGAATCCGTTTGAGGTCGCGGCTGCTAAATCTTTTAAGCTATCCAAGACTGGCGTGTGTACTTTTGTCGGTCTTCATTGTAGTCTTATAAGAATATACCAAGGTCATTACCTGGCGAAGTTTGAAGCTATGCATAGCAGACAGCATCAGAATCGAGTATCCGCAATCTCATAATCTCATTGTCATCTCGATCTATACTTTGGGTAAGGCTATCTCACAATTCATAGTTGAAATTTAGATACAGATTCTGCATTGTCTGACATGCTTTGATTGCTTGTGATGAACAAGATTACAATGAAGATCGACGAAAAATGATCGTCGAAGAAGTGAACAATCCTTTGGCTACTTTATTCAAGAAATCACATAGCGCAGTACTAGCAACTCCATAAATTAGTGCAACTAATTAGTTATTTTGTCTTTGAAGGAGCGCTTCAGACCACGTGTTAGTCAGTAAAACTGAGAAGTTACACCCCCACCCCCTCTCAGACAAAATGGCCACTCTACGCCCCTGATGATATTCATTAGGATAGTGATGTGATATAGTGATAGTGAAATGTATATCTATTGGGTCATTTCATAAAATCAGTGATGCGATCAGTTGTCTGAAACTGAAAAAAGTCTGTGGTCCGGATAGAATAAGTCATCATCTTCTTAAACAATGTTCAGAGTCGATTTATATTTCACTCCAGATTATATTCAACAAATATATATGGGAGTGCGTTTTCCCGGAAATCTGGAAAATAGCAACTGTCATTCCGATCTTCAAGAATGGGGATCTATCTCTTCCGTCGAATTACAGGTCCATTTCTCTCCTGAGTTCCATCAGCAAGCTTCTTGAAAGGATACTCTTCAAACACTTGTACAGCTATTTCTATTCTAACAATCTCATTTACCAATCTGGTTTCAGACTCCAACATTCACTGTAGAACTATATCATGATATTGTTTCGTCCTATGAAAACCATTTACTATCATGTTATGTCTTTTTTGACATCTCCAAAGCCTTCGATCGGGTCTTCCACAGAGGATTACTTCACAAACTTAGATCATATGGCCTGGACGAAAACACACTGAAATGGCTATCCAGCTATACAACATATAGAACTGTGTTGGTAAACGACTTAACATCCGGCGTCCTACAAGGGTCTGTCCTCGGCCCATTTCTTTTCATCGTTTATATTAACGACATCCAAGAATCTCTATCAAATCTTACGTTATTTGCAGATGACACTGCTCTTGGCTCCCATGGTACAACAGATGAAGAGATTGAGAAATCTGATGCGAATACATGAATGGTCCAAGAAATTGCTCGTGGTCTTTAATCTTTCTAAAACGAAACTTATGATGTTTTCACAAACTAAACATGATTTACCAAACTTATGGACGGGCGATACTAAATTAGACATTTCAAATGGACTCCCTATATCGATGCTATTGCTTTATCAGCGTCAAGGCATATAGGCTTTTTGCGAGGTCTGAAATACAAACTTAGTAAAATTGACAAAATCTACAAGACCTACATTCTTCCCACTTTGGAATATACATGTAAAGTCTGGTATGGCTGTCTGAAAATTAATTGTGAAAAGTTACAAAAATTACAGATGGAAACAGCACGTATTGTGACAGGACTACCCAAATTCACGAGCCTAAACTAAATTCAATCTATATTGAAACCGGTTGGGAACCACTGAATGAAAGACGCAAGAGACGAAGACTCACTTTGTTCTATGAAATATATCACGAAAAGTTCCCACACTATCTCTCATATTTGTTAGACACAATCAGATCCCAACTAAATCACTACAGCTTAAAAAATAGATAAGTCATTAAACCACCAAACACGAGAACATCTACCTTTGAAAACCCATTCTTCCCTGCAACTATCAAAGATTGGAATAATCTTAAACCTGATACTAGAAAAACAAGTACTATACAGAAATTCAAATCGCCCTTCACCATCCCTCGTCAAACACAACAATCAATTTTACACAACGGAGACCGGATATGTGTCATCCTTCTAACACATCTGGTACAAAATCAAAACTTACTGTCCTTGTTGCCACTTGAGAGAAGATGTCGTACATTATTTTTTATATTGTACAAACTATATAGAATCACGTTAAAATATATCTCACCCTTCTTAGCAGATCATAAAAATCACCATATATCTCTCTGAGGCGACAAAATCTCACATCTCCAAATCAAAATACGAAACTCATCAACAATGTTTTTAAATTCATAAAAGCAAGCGAAATGTTCTCAACATAACGGTAATAAATACTGTTGATATTGTTCTTAGCAAGGGTCATTCGAAATATCGTCACTCTAAGAACTTACTTTTGTATTTTCGCCAATTTTTGAGCAGAAGATCGTTCATTGAGAAAATTTCGACTAACTTAAACACAATTTTTTCCAATCTCATCACCAACCCATAACTCGTTGATACTTCACAAAAAAATGAATTAGGAATGAAAATGATTGACGGCTTTGTACGTCTCTTTTGAAAAACAGTTCCAATATCATTTGTATTTCCTTTTCTGCATACAACTCACTAATATGAGAAAGGGACGAATAGGGAAGGGGGCACGAAATGGGGCGAAATGAAAAAGGATCGAAATCAGAAAGGGGCCAAACGGGAAAAGGGGCGAATCGGAAAATGACATAATAGGAAGGGGCGGAATGGAGAAGGAAAGGAAGGGAAGGGAAACGAGCATCAAACACCATGTATTTGTTTCTTACTTCATGACGTAGTCCAGTGCCTTTTTTGACCTTTTGACAACACTATTCCCATCTCACTCTATTGGGATTATGCAGTGATGTCATGAGAATGCTTGAACTTTGGTGGAAATTTTGTAAAGACAAAAACTTATCAATGGCCTTGAGAAAAAATAGGGAACAAGTATTAATTTTGATTAACAAATATCCATTTTGTGAAACAACTCTCAAAAATGACCACAGTCAGATTAAATTAGACCCAACTTTCGTTTCGTTTTTTTTTTTTTATTATTTCTTAGTTTTAGTATAGCCACTTAGGATCTAACGACCTCATTCTTGAACATTCGTCAAATTAACCTTTTGACCTAACCACATTAACGCCTTCTCTATTGTTGGAGTTTTGTGACGCGATCAAAAGGTGTATTTTCAGGACCAATAGACTAGTTTATCAAGTCCACTGAAAATGAAATTGGAAATGAAATGAATGTAGTTTTACGTCCTACTTTTCTGCACCATGTGGGCTAATGAAGACGGGCAACGCCATGCAGGGGGCAATGAGGGAAATTTTGCCAGGACAGCGGCATTAGCCTGCTCTTTTTCGATTTCCAACTGTCGAGGGATCTTTAACGTGCACAGCCTGTAGCACTTGGGGCCTCGGTTTATTGTCCCATCCGAACGACTAGACGCTTTTTCCATGTCAGCCCCTCGTACCAGCATCACTGACAGGGGGAAACCGGATTGAAAAATCCGAAGGTATTATCTCGACCTATGCCGGGATTGAACCCTGGACCTTCAGGTTAGCGAGCAAGCGTCTAACTCACTGAGCCACCGCGGCTCCCAAAATGAAATTGGATGTTTCGATGTTAAATTTGATTGGTTAAAGCAAACGTCAAAAAGGTTGATTTAACGAATGTTCCGATACTTTATGGGAAGGCTGGATTATGGGTGGGTCGGCGATGTGGTGGGACATACGTTGCTGGATTGCTAGTTAAATCACTCATATCTTATTGTATGTTATTTTCCCATACTGTGAAGCGGCTGTACAAAAAACTTAAAACTAATATATAAACGACAAGAAAGTTGGGTCTAATTTTAAATTAGACTGAAACGAACAACAAATAAGGAGTAGTAATTAAGCATTAAGGACTATAAGGATTAAGGATCATGACGTCTTAATATTGAACTGTTTTGAATCAATCGAAAAAAAAACTAAGTATATAGATCTAAAATTTAATATTATTCATTTTGCGTTGGTTTTATGTTTACCGCTTATGATTAAAACATGTGCATGATTTTTTGTTTTTCTATTTTGTAGATGTGAAGAGGTTCCGGAAGTCAGATGTTATACTAACTATAAAATACTAGTTCTAATATTAATATTCATCATAAAATGATGATTCATCAAAAATTTTCCTTTCACTTTAATATAAATTTCTACATAAAATACGTATTTCATAAATAAGATTACAGTAACACGTTGCTTTTCTGATAGAAAAATTAAATTTCGATCCATTGAATGAAAGAGATTGACACTTCTTGCTATTGGTCTTCAAACTGATTAATGGTATTTACTATTCAACAACGTGTCGATCGGGCTACTCTTGGCCGAATACAACCTATTTCCTTCATAATACTAGACTTATTTTACATGGTGATTCTACAGTTCTACAGTGGATAAATGTATTGAGGCAAATTTCCGGCTGTATTTTAAAGGGATACTACGTCTTAGGATGAACATTTTAATTTTGCTCAAATTTGGCCAATAACAGTATATATCCATCAGTGGACTTACCTGGTGTCCTAACTATACATCAAAATCCCTCTATAATCCGATATATTCACAAAATCAAGTAATTAATTATAAAACGCTTAACACATCCATTAAGCGATTTTCAAATCGTGGGTCTAGAAAATCCGGTGTAAGGGAAGGGGAAGTAACGCTCAAGTGGGGTTTCCCGCTTTCTTGACCTCTACTCTTGAATTGACCTCGACATTGTCATATTTTGAAGACGGAATAATGATGCCTCGTAGGAGATTAAGCGACTCCGCGAAAAAGCAATTCATGTAATTTAGAATGAACACTCCACCACTGACACAATTTTCAACGAATATTAATCATTGGCAAAGTTTGTTTGTATACACCGGAAGATGATTGTTTCCTGTTTTAGCGTTGATTACCCAGACTCTTTTTCTCAAACTGAACGGATTCATGGCTTGTTCACTTTTTTTTAAAATTATGATTATAGTTTTATTGTCGATTTTTCAAACTTGATAAAGTGTGGGATGCATATTTATTTAAACAATTAAACACAAATATTAGCCACAGGGCGAGTGTATTCTAAGACGTAGTATCACTTTAAATAAAAATTACCATGGTGGAAAATGGTACGATGAGATAGTATGTGAAAAAAAATATTTGAGATGACTGTCTGAGCGGTATCTGTATGAATGTTGGTTGTATTAAAGGTGACTGTTTTAGAAGTGTCTGTATGAATAGTGATGGTATTAGAGGTGACTGTTTGAGCAGTGTTTGTATGAATAGTAGTTGTATTAGAGGTGACTGTTTAAGTAGTGTCTGTATGAATAGTGATGGTATTAGAGGTTTCTGTTTGAGTGGTGTCTGTATGAATAGTGATGGTATTAGAGGTGACTGTTTGAGCAGTGTCTGTATGAATAGTGATGGTATTAGAGGTTTCTGTTTGAGTGGTGTCTGTATGAATAGTGATGGTATTAGAGGTGACTGTTTGAGCAGTGTCTGTATGAATAGTGATGGTATTAGAGGTGACTGTTTGAGCAGTGTCTGTATGAATAGTGGTTGTATTAAAGGTGACTGTTTGAGCAGTGTCTGTATGAATAGTGGTGGTATTAGAGGTGACTGTTTGAGCAGTGTCTGTATTAATAGTGATGGTATTAGAGGTGACTGTTTGAGCAGTGTCTGAATGAATAGTGATGGTATTAGAGGTGACTGTTTGAGCAGTGTCTGTATGAATAGTGATGGTATTAGAGATGACTGTTTGAGCAGTGTCTGTATGAGTAGTGGTTGTATTAGAGGTGACTGTTTGAGCAGTGTCTGTATGAATAGTGATGGTATTAGAGGTTACTGTTTGAGCAGTGTCTGTATGAATAGTGATGGTATTAGAGGTGACTGTTTGAGCAGTGTCTGTATGAATAGTGATGGTATTAGAGGTGACTGTTTGAGCAGTGTCTGTATGAATAGGGATGGTATTAGAGGTGACTGTTTGAGCAGTGTCTGTATGAGTAGTGATGGTATGAGAGGTTACTGTTTGAGCAGTGTCTAAATGAATAGTGATGGTACTAGAGGTGACTGTTTGGGCGGTAACTGTATGAATAGTGATGGTATGAGAGGTTACTGTTTGAGCAGTGTCTAAATGAATAGTGATGGTATTAGAGGTGACTGTTTGAGCAGTGTCTGTATGAATAGTGATGGTATTAGAGATGACTGTTTGAGCAGTGTCTGTATGAATAGTGGTGGTATTAGAGGTGACTGTTTGAGCAGTGTCTGTATTAATAGTGATGGTATTAGAGGTGACTGTTTGAGCAGTGTCTGAATGAATAGTGATGGTATTAGAGGTGACTGTTTGAGCAGTGTCTGTATGAATAGTGATGGTATTAGAGATGACTGTTTGAGCAGTGTCTGTATGAGTAGTGGTTGTATTAGAGGTGACTGTTTGAGCAGTGTCTGTATGAATAGTGATGGTATTAGAGGTTACTGTTTGAGCAGTGTCTGTATGAATAGTGATGGTATTAGAGGTGACTGTTTGAGCAGTGACTGTATGAATAGTGATGGTATTGGAGGTTACTGTTTGAGCAGTGTCTGTATGAATAGTGATGGTATTAGAGGTGACTGTTTGAGCAGTGTCTGTATGAATAGTGATGGTATTAGAGGTGACTGTTTGAGCAGTGTTTGTATGAATAGTAGTTGTATTAGAGGTGACTGTTTAAGTAGTGTCTGTATGAATAGTGATGGTATTAGAGGTGACTGTTTGAGCAGTGTCTGTATGAATAGGGATGGTATTAGAGGTGACTGTTTGAGCAGTGTCTGTATGAGTAGTGATGGTATTAGAGGTGACTGTGTCTGTATGTAAGGGAAATTTAACGTGCACAGCCTGTAGCACACGGGGCCGCGGTTCATTGTCCCATCTGAACGACTAGACGTTTTCTCCATGTCAGACCCTTCCTACCTGTATCACTGACATTTTGTTTCTGTTGTAAACAAGTCATTTGGACTCAATCCACTAATTCATTTACCATCTCTTCCCATGTTAAAACACGAAATTCAACCTTCTACAATGGTAATTCATTGTCATTTGCGCTGTCATAAGCTAGCACTGCAACTTTGAATTCGCTAAGCGAGATAATAAAACAAAAATGGCGACTCAATCATTCGAGTCGAGTAGTGTAAAAAAAGTAGTTCGACCATATGTGTGATATTGATTCAATTATTAGAAAATTTCTAAAAATAACCTGGACTACAATCATTTGCATAAAATGTTGGACTCACTCCACTTAAACATTTTATGCAGCAAATGATTGTATGAATGTAGTCCAGGCTATTTTTAGTCCAGGCTATTTTTAGAAATTTTCTCCCTTTTGGGGCTTTTACCTTCAAACGCAAAGTCTCTGAGTTGGATAGTTTTATCCGTCCAGCAATGAAAACATCAGCTGTCGACACGAATATTAGATCCCTCAATCGGACATGGCTCTGTAAGGTTACGCAGGTCCTGATCGACCATTACCAAACCACACTTCAAGAGAAGCTGACCACCATTCGTACCAAGTCTTTATCATCACCTGCCGTCGACCGCATCGTTTCTCATGCCCTGTCCTGGGCCCGCCGCTCCTATGGGAAACGTCTCACTCAAGCTGTAATCTCCAAATTCTACCAAACAATCAACGAAACAAAAACCAGAGTAACCATATCTCTACCAACTGAAATGGACACTACACCTGCACCATCTAGAGCCACCACGCTGCCAAACCAAACCCTTAAACGAGCCCGAAGTTCACCTACTCCTAGTCCAGCAGACATAGGTAAACGCTCTCGTAGAGAGTGCACACCCCTTCTCTTTTCACTTTCAGACTCGTCTTCCCCTTCCACACCATCTGAATCTTCACAACGTGATCCAGGATCCGCCAACCTTTCTTCCTTCTGTGCGTTTTTGGACCAGCAAACCACCCCTCAGTCTCCATCCAAGTCGAGACGTGTATCCAGACCTTCCCCTCCTCGAACTAGATCCCAGTCCGTTCCCAATGCTACAATTCTAACAACTACCAAACCAGTACCAATCACACCGTCGACGACCATTATATCCGCTACCAAACCCTATTATCACCAAACCAAGGACAAATCATTATGGAAACTACCTGCTCTAAAGAAATCTACCTTAATAATTGGATCATCTAACCTGAATCGAATTACCAAAACCAGTTCAGACACCGAAATACATTCTTACCCCGGTGCCCAAATCCATCACATACAGTCAATCCTGGAATCATACGACCATGATCCCAAACCTAATACCATTATTCTTCATGTAGGCCTCAACAACCGTAATCAGATACCAAAGACCTCCTTTAACCAAGCCAAGAAATTAATCGCCACAGCCAACAAAACCCTCCGAGACTTCAAGATCTTCTTCACATGTATACCCATTTCAAATTAAATCTCGAAGAAAGCACAACAGAACCTCAGCACTCTCAACAACATGATGATGGAGTCCAGTATCAACAGCGCAACAATCTTACCACCCTACGAAGAAGAATTCGAAACATTTGATAATCTTCATTGGTCTCCAGAAACAGCAAACAGCATCTATTTGTTTTGGATACACCAGCTTCAAGCATCGAGTAAGTCTTTAAACTAATTACTGGGGATAAAAATACTGAGAGGCCACCGCTAGGCCAAACTGTAGTTAACTTGAGCCGCAAAATTCTCACACCCCTTCAGCATTCAATCTTAGACCGTGGACTTAAGTTTATTCCCACACCAAAGATAGCTAACTTGAATTATCTCCGACCATCCATTGAACGATTTCAACGAAATCTTAGCTGCACATATTTTTTTCGAAACCACCCCCACGTGGTGCTAGAACAATGTTTATTCCTAAATCCACGTGGACACCCCCTCAGGCCGCCATCCATCCTGAAATATTGAAAGCATTTGCGAGTATGAATAGCCAAACAGTGAACCTTTCCATAACACACGAAAAGCCTAATCTCACACGAGTGGAACGTGAAGCGTTAAACTTACTTAAGACGATAGCATTGTTATTAAAAAGAGTGACAAAGGTTCATGTTGTGTCATTCTGAATAGGGAGGATTACGTTTCAGAAGCAGAGAATCAACTGAATAATCCTAAACATTATGCCATTTTACCGAAACCAATTTTCAAAGAAACTGCTAACATGATTAATAATATTCTTGCCGATTTAGTCAAAACTAGTTATCTCAAACAGAAACAATATGACTATCTGTCTGCCAAACCTGATTGTCGCGAGAGACATTTGTACACTTTGCCTAAAATCCATAAGAATCCAACCAAGGAGTGGTTTATCTCGAATAAAATCCCTAAAGGCCGCCCGATTATATCTGACTGTGGTAGTGAGTCATATGCAGTGTCAGAATACATTGATCATTTCTTACTACCTCTAGCATGCCAACATCGCCCCTACCTTAAAGACACAACCGATTTTGTCAATAAAATAAAAAATCTTCGAGTTCCCTCTAATGCTATTTTAATTTCTATCGACGTTTCTTCTATGTATACCAATAACACTACTGGTTTAACGGCAGTTCGTAAAGCTTTTAATAGAAACCCAGATCCGAACAGACCCGACGATGCAATTCTACAGCTTTTAGAGATTTGTCTTAGTCGAAACGATTTCACATTTAATGGTAAAACATATTTACAAACTTCAGGGACAGCAATGGGCAAACGATTCGCCCCTTCGTACGCAAACCTTTTCATGGCAGAGTGGGAACGTGAGGTGTTGCCCCTCTGTCCATTTGACCCACTTTTTTACGGACGCTTTTTGGATGACATTTTTATGGTTTGGACTTATTCTATCGAACAGTTTTGGGAATTCTTTGAAATTCTCAACAACCACCATCCTTCTATCAAACTAACCGCAAACGTGAGTGACAAAAGCATAGACTTTCTCGATACCACAGTCTTTAAGGGAGATTCCATAGCAGAAACAAATAAACTGGATATTAAAGTGTATTTCAAAGAAACTGATACTCATCAACTCTTGCACAAGAGCTCCTTTCACCCAAAACATACCTTTTCTGGTATAATTAAGTCACAAGTTTTACGATTTCATCGAATTTGTACAAGATCTTCTGATTTCAACCAAGCCTGTACGATTGTTTTCTCAAACTGAAAGAGCGTGGGTACTCTAAACGATTTTTACGAAACATAAAAAATTCCACCTTAGCACAGATAGCAGCTAAAAACAGACTTTATGCCGAAGTACCTCCAGGTTTAAGAAGTGCTCCATGTTTGTCCAGTAGATGCAAAACATGTCCCTTTATATCAGAAACTCATTATTTTGTAAGCAACTCTACGAATAAAAGGTACCCGATCCAGGAACATCTAACACGTGAACATTCGAATGTAATATATTTAATTTCATGCAAGAAATGCCCCAAACAATATGTAGGAGAAACTAAGAATAATTTACGAACTCGCTTTAATGCTCATAGGTCAGACATCAAATTAAAGAAAGACAAGCCTGTTTCTAATCATTTCAACCTCGACGACCATTCAATAGACGATCTCACCCTAATCCCAATTGAGCGTATAGAAATTGACTTGCCCGAAGATGAAACTACCAAATTCCGTCAATCTAGGGAGGCCCATTGGATTGAGACATTGAATACAGCAAGACCTATAGGACTAAATATTCATCATAATGTAGGCATAGCACCCTTTGTTGTCCCGTTTAATACAACCAACAATCGAGCAAGCAAGATAGTTCATGCCCACTATAAGAGCCTTCAAGAGAAATTCCCCCGTGTCTATAAGCAGAAAATGATAGTTGCATATTCAAAAAATAAGAACTTAAATGATAATATTGTTCATAGTAAACTAAAAACAGTCAGTACATAACAGATACTATACTTCTCGCCCATCGGGCGAGTTATTTTTTCTAATTTCAGATCAGAATAAGAACAGAAGAAAACCCAATATCAAGACCCTTAATCCTAATTTCTAAATAAAGTGTTTGCTCCACCCTAGGCCTGTACATTTGGGAGAATCAAACCCTCCCTTCCCCGAAATCTAAAAATAGTCGTTTTGTGAACTGCCAAACACTAGCGGATGAGTATAACCGGTAGTATCCTTCTATCAAACTAACCGCAAACGTGAGTGACAAAAGCATAGACTTTCTCGATACCACAGTCTTTAAGGGAGATTCCATAGCAGAAACAAATCAACTGGATATTAAAGTGTATTTCAAAGAATCTGATACTCATCAAGTCTTGCACAAGAGCTAATTCCACCCAAAACATACCTTTTCTGGTATAATAAAGTCACAAGTTTTACGATTTCATCGAATTTGCACAAGATATTCTGATTTCAACCAAACCTGTACGATCGTTTTCTCCAAACTGAAAGAGCGTGGGTGCTCTAAACGAGTTTTACGAAACATAAAAAAATTCCATCTCAGCACAGATAGCAGCTAAAAACAGGCTTAATGCCGAAGCACTCCAGGTTTAAGAAGTGCCCCATGTTTGTCCAGTAGATGCCAAACATGGCCCTTTATATCAGAAACTCATTATTTTGTAAGCAACTCTACGAATAAAAGGTACCCGATCCAGGAACATCTAACATGTGAACATTCGAATGTAATATAATTATTTAATTTCATGCAAGAAATGCCCCAAACAATATGTAGGAGAAACTAAGAATAATTTACGAACTCGTTTTAATGCTCATAGGGCGGATATCAAATTAAAGAAAGACAAGCCTGTTTCTAATCATTTCAACCTTGACGACCATTCAATAGACGATCTCACCATTGCAATTGAGCGTATAGAAATTGACTTGCCCGAAGATGAAACTACCAAATTCCGTCAATCTAGG